TTAGACAGCCTTATTAAAACTTTCATCATTAAAAGTTAAACATCTGTAACTGATTCCAGATCTTGTGATAAACTTATGTGAGTAGTAAAAGTATAAACATTATTTACTAATAATTGGTTTATCTAAAGACTTGTAGCTCCAAAAATAATCTATACTGTGGTGTGAGTGGAAATACTGCATACCTCTGCTCATATCGCAAAAGGCCATAAAGGGCTCAGATCCGTTGGGTTTGACGGCATAGATTCCGTTACTCCGTTCACCTTTATCGAACAGTTCAGTGCAATCTGATGGTAGATCTGTTTTAAAAACAAAACAAACAAAAAAAATGAACAAAAGCATAAGGACGTGGTGAATATGAAGATAATGCATTGATAGTCACATGTTTTTTTCCTTCCTTGATGTTGCAAACGCAGCAGGAATGGTATCTAAAGTTCATATTGACTCTGTTAGGGTTGTATCACTGCCATCTTTGCAAATGCACACACGCTCCCATGATAACACACAAACACCTCTGCTGGTGACAAAAAAATCACCATGGACTAGACTGGAACAAGCTGCAGTTTATGCACATGCTGCATAGATTCAAACTGCATGTACCGTAAATGTTTTCTTCTGAGGATGTTTATATCTAAAGGTTTTTATTTTTTCTGAGGGATTTTTCACATTTTCTGTGTTGTTTTTTTTCAAGGACCTTTAAAATTTTTAAAAGTTGTGTTTAATCTTTGTTTGCATATTAAGAGTGCACTTTTAATGATCAGTTATGTACGGTAAATAGAAAATATGGCTGAAGACATTGGCACAAATAGGAGCAGTGTATAGCTATCTGCCCCTTTGGTTTATGTCAAAACCTCTGTCTACATTAAACTCTAAATAATTTGTAAAGCTGAACATTTTAGCATCAGCTGATGTTTTTAATATCATTGTTTTTATGTGGGTCTGAGTCCAGAATGTGTTTAATACATAATCTTTACTAATAATAAAAAATAAGGAAATATAGCCCCTTATAGTCACAATATTATTCATCTTACCCATCACTCCAGTACTTATGGTGCCTGAGGTCGGATAAGAGGCAGGTAGTTGTACTTCAGACTTGGGGATCTCCAGCACATTCTCAAATGTCTCCTGAACTGATGTGCTGCCAGCTAGCTGTGGACATTAAGTTGGAAAAATACTGTCATGGTTCCTGTTCCTGGTTTTTTGTATGACGTATGAAGCAGAACTCAGAACTACAACTGTTCTACTTAACTAGAGAGCAAATCACAAGTAAGTTTAATAAAGAAATCCTGCAGCTGATGAGATATTTGGAACATAAACCTTTTCTTCCAGAAGCCTGATCTTCACCGTCTGCAGGTCCAGATGTCTACCTTGTTCCTCAATAGCTTGCAAAAGGTTTTTAATGCTCCGCTTCTGATGCTGGATAACTTCCTGTTCAAAGAGCAAATCATATTTACAGTAAATAGACTCCTGTGTGTATTTGCACCAGTAGCTCTACAAAGAGTTTAAATAGAATAAACACAAAGGGTTAAAGGTAAAAGTTAAAATGGAGCCTAGGCGGAAGTTCAACTAAAGAAACTCATTGCTTCTCATACATCCCCCTGCGACACAGCCAATCAGCTTTGAACCACACCTCCATGAAAGCCAATCAGCATCCAAAGTTCATTTTAAAAGGCCTCCGATTCACACCTGTCTGCTCCTTTTCACAGGCGGCGGATGCGCAGTGACTTCATTCAGATGACCTCGTTTCAACCCACCTCCAACCCTTCCTCCACCATCGTAGCTAAAGCTTCATCAGAGCGTCATTCCTCCCGGACTCTTAGGCCCCGTCCACACGAAGTCAAAACGAACACGAAACGCTAATATTTTCCAAAACGTTTGTCGTAAAGACGGAGAC